GCCCAATCTTGTATGAATTAGATAGGATGAGGTTCGAAGCTTTTTAAGTTCCAGAGCATCATTTATGTCAACCATGAGAACCATGTTTTAAAATTCTGTCATGTATATTTCTCTTTACCGTCTAATGGTTGATTTTAACACAGTGATAAGAGATGTATATTTTATAAAACTCAAACTTCAGGAGTTTGAATAATGAGTTAATTCCAAACAGAGCTTTTGATAAGCTTGATGCCATTCACCTAGCTAACATTTTTTAAATCACATGAATGTACTTAACAGTATTTTGATGCCCACTCTTTTCCATTTTTAATGGGAAAAAATACCAATGCTGTTATTGCAGGATTAAAATTATTAGCTTCAGCTGGCAAAAGTTTAAATTGATGTCCCCTCAAGGCAACCCGGTGTTACTTTTAAATGCTACCGACCCTTCCCCTGCAAAGCAGGCAGCAGTATTTGCAGTAGCTCAAGCAAACAAAAATCAGCCTAAAAGACCCAGAACATTAAAAACATCATGAGGCTAAGTCAAAGAAAAGCAATTAATGTTGAGATGATTAGACTAAATTTTTCTATGAATTTAAGTCACTATTCTGTGTTTTAAAACTAAAGATAGATGTACTACATGAATCAGATACACCAGCTGAATGCTAATTGATCTAAATCACCCTCTTATATTAATTTTGCACAGACATTTCCATAGCTGTAAGAAACTGTCAAGGCAGAGCACCAAATCTAACTGCTCAGACAAAACGCATTTCTAAATCTTTAAAAAGAGGGATGTTACACTGACGGAAAGAGCTGCTTTGAGAAAGCACACCCATTTGAGAAGGTCTAATATGAGGAAGCATTTGCTGGAAGGAGCAGGCATATGCATGCTATAGACTGCTCGAAATTAAGGCACTAAGTGCTTACATAACAGGCAGGACTCAGTGAAGCGCCTTACATAAAAATCTGCGATAGCTTTTGACAAGCTTGTTTTCCGTAAGGAACCTTAAACGGCAAAATGGATAGTTAATTGCCTCTTTTTCAAATGAAAACTTCTCCTATATTATTAATAAACTAATATTGACTATTCTGGACCAAATCAAGGAATATCAGAGCTCGGTAGAAAGAAAAGCCCCTCCCAAGAAATCTGAGAAAGCACAAGCCACCCTGCATTCTGAGAGAACCTGATACTCTGCCGAGGCTGGAGCAGCTTTACTGCAGGAACATCAGTTATTTTTAACATTAACAGAAGGTGCGTTACCTGCATCTTCTTGAATGCCTTTTATTTTATTACTACCATTGCTTTGCTACAGCATCAAACTGAATACACAATTATCATCGTGGATGCTGCATGTGAACCAGAGCATTCCCCAAAGTCCCCTCTAAATTTCTACTCATAGCAGCCAAAACGAGCATCTTCCTGGCACCTAACCCTTGCTTTTCACCTTGTACATAAAAAGCCCGTCTTTGCCAGCAGGCTATGCTCTTGCATTTACCACAGTTCTAACTAAACATAATCAGACTGTTATGAAAATAATTTAAAAATCATTTAAAGAAGAGACAAGATTCAAATACACCAAATGACTTCTGAAAGTATAAGGGAAAATAATGCTTTTTTCACATATATTGCAGTGTACATCACACAGGAGGGAATTAAAATTTCAACTGATTTTTAGGCCCCAGCAGCATTCGCTAACTAGCTGCACAGTGTGCACGTCTCTACAGCACCAAGCAGCTCCTCGAACACTGCCAAATCTACTCGACAACTGTAAACCCTTTCTAAATCAGGTGGCTTCCAGACAATATTGCCTACTGGCTTCTGGCTTTGCATTTTAAACACTGAAGAGCCTTCCTTCACTTTGGAGATAACAGAGTATTAAAAAAAACTGCATTGATAAGTAGTAATTTTGCTTAAAAACAGATCTTCATTTTTGAAAGTCAGAAATACATATAGCGTCTGTGTTTCATCTAAAGCTAGATCTGAGGAAACATATACCCCATATGTTATGTATCCTCACAGCATATTTAGTTAAGGTTATTGTAACACAGTAAAAGATAAAAAAAAATCAAGTTAATGTAAACATAATTTGGTGGCTTTTTAATAGACAGCTTCAAAAAGTGATGAAAATATTCCTAACCATCTTCCCAAAAGTCAAGAGAACAGCAGCGGTTTTAATTCATTTTGATGTTCACAGTACAACAATATTTAAAAATAACTCCAATAACTAAAATCAATATTCACACCGACACTCAGCAAATCCAAACTTGGCCAAGGTATCTCACAGAACTTCAGATACTCAGAGAAATTTTAGTATTGGTCAAATGACCTTTAATGTGCAAAAGGGTGGGTAGTGGAGCATGGCAACAACGCCTTGGTTCGAAACGCATTCCTCTCAAAGTGGGATGCTTAGCATATATGCTAACAAAATGAATCAAATAACCTTTACATTTTTTTTTTCCACTTAGCAAGCCTTTATTAAGCTAAATGGTGCTTCAAAGCAGTCTGTAATTGAGAAATCTATATTGCCTAGGTCCATCATTATGTGTATGTTTTATAACTTCATCTGTTAACAATGCTTAATTTGTGAGCGGAGAGTATAAGTTCATCTAGTAATATTAAAAGTAGCACTATTTTTAAGAGAAGAATCTGGACTTCAAAAAGATGTGTTGACTCTTATTACACAGAGGCTCATAGTAAATAGCAAGTGGTTCCTTGATGCCGAGTTAGTGAGGAAGAACAGGGAAAAAAATTTTCACATTTAGAACACGACACTGCTATCTGTCAAGTATTATGACAACTTCTGCCACTGACTTTGTGCTTTTAAAATACTTGCAAATCTTTAAGTTTAGCACATACTTATTCACAAAAGCTTATAAGAATATATGCTTAATACAATATAATGTCGAAAAAAAAGGCAGCTCTCATTCAGGCTCATTTGCTGCGGTCAGCAGTAGGAAACATCAAATTTAAAAGAACAGATGAACATGGAACTTGAAATAAAACTAAAAAGCAATTAGGATTCTAACTGTCTGGCCAAACCCTGGTCAGACAGAAAGGAAAAGCCATGAAGACCAAATAAGGTTGCTCTAAATACCTGTCATACCTGCATTTTGTCTTTCCCCTTCCCTCTCTAATGAAGTATCACAACAAAAGCACAAAACAAAAAGGAAATAGCTTGAAATGAACATAAACTATCCACCTTCAAAAACAGGAGCATATTTGTTAGTGAAGCAGAAAGGATGCTGATTAAAACGCAAAATGAATAGCTTCCAATTACCTGCAATAACAACCACCAATAGGAAGAAATCTTACTACTTCAGTGGGCAAATGCATTACAGAACGGATGACAGCAGTATCTACTATGAGAAAAGAAGAATGATTAAAGATTTCCTACTGGTTTTTTTTACATATTTTAACACCACTACAGAAGACAGCATGTTCTGCATTTTCCTAGTAAGTGCTACTATTTATGCTTGGTAGATACAATCTCTAAAAATCATCTTTTCAGTACAAAAACATTAGGAATGGAATTGTCCCAGAGTTAGATTAAGCAACCTGCTTGTTAGGGCCCAATTAGGAGCTAAAACTTTATAACAAAATTTGACTAGATACTAATCAAAACCATGCAGAAACTAAAGGTTGTTTTGTGTTATGAATGGAGTTCACAGAGGAAAGACGATGACATACAGCTACACCGATTTTAAAGAGCATGAACTAGAACTATTATAAACCCAGAATCTCAGATTCAAAAACCATCAAACATACTATGAGTCAGACTGTCTAGAGGCCTTGAAAGGCAGTAACAGATTTCAAATACTTTTGGCCCTAATTGGACTGTATTTTAACTTAGTGTTAAGGTGTTATTTTTCACAAATATACAACACTGAATAGATGCTTCTAAGGAACTCATGTGTAATCATTAGGTTAGTTGTTTCATTTTAAATGGACAGCATAAGCTTTTTATTTGAACTGTTATACATATCATCCATTACATGGTTTTTGGTCTGTTTACAAAAGGAAATTATTCTGAAAGTTTCATCCCATTTAAAAACTAAATACTACTCTGGATTAAAAACCCATCTGAATAGAAGCACAAAGTTAACCTGAACAAGTGGTCTTTGCAGCTTTGTAGTCTGGAAATGTCTCAGTGCTTTTGCCATTTCCCTATCTCTTTTTGAAAATCATATATTAAATGCTGCAAAACTGTAATCTTAGAATTAACATACTCCTCATTATATTTTTTTCCATTAACTGCTACAAAAATAAGCTGTCTAGAATATAGAACTTTAATATAGGTTGCACATTTAAATTAGAATAGATGCAGTCCCTGATATGCGTCTAATACTCAAATCTGCTTTTTCATTACCCCCTACCCCAATTATGTAGACTTAGACCAATTTCTCAAGTTTTTGCAATACTTCACTAGCTTATTACCCAGCTGTGCAGCTGAGCAGGAAGATAACCACATTCATTCCTCTTATCTGTAATGATGTAATACATCCCAGCACTGGCTTGAGATGATTGGGGAATAATGGGATTGTAAAAACAGCAGCGATGACAAACAACAGGGCAGCCCTCTTTTCTGATAGAGAGAATAGCACGCATGCAGCACAGGGTAAAAAGAATAACAGAATATGCACTAAAATTCTGCTCCTTGAACCAAGTTAACATTTTTCATGAGAAGCAGCTGTTTCTACACAGAAACATCACCACCACAATGCGGCAACCAGACAAAACAGCCGCAGTCCTCAGTTCTTGAACCTCAACTTCTCAAGAAAGAGATGTTGGAGTTGACTTTCTACTGATAGCAAAAACATCAACCAAAAAATAAGCCAGTTTAATCCATGAGTCTCCAGATAGCGCAGTGCAAAGAGACACCAGGGACCAGTATGCAAAGCAGAAATAGACCTTGGACCAAAGGACGCACTGCTCTGCTTTCCCACTTCAAAAAATAAATAAATCTGCCTCCATTTTACGGGCTAAAAAGCTTGCTTATTACAACTGACGAGATCCTTACCTTCTGCAGGAGCTGTGAACCCGAGTACTTGGCTGCAATAGATTTGATCTCCCCACCAAATGCTGAGGCCCAGAGCTTCACACTGAAGATGGAGAGAGAAGGAAAAAAAAAAAAACAACAACAAGAAAAAAAAAAAAAGGAAGAGAGAGGGAGAGAGGAAGAAATGTAATACACGTGTCATAGCAAGCAGCGCAGGCTGTAACAGCTTCAGCTGCACTCAGAAGGATCCAAGCAATTTTGCATTAAATAGATCACTAAGGAACCTCAGCACAGCACAGGCTGAGCGTAGCTATTCGTGTTCAAGCACAAGCTCTGCCAGCGCAAGGGCCTCTGATCAAACTACCTGACCTACACTTTTTTAATTTAAAGAATCAACCTGTAAAGAAATAGGCTTTAGCACCATAAAAACAGGTATTCATTGAGAAGAAAGTAGCAGGTAAACTAGCAGAATGGTTTGGGATGATAAATTCTCATATGAGAATGAGTTAAGATAACTTCAGTAAATACAAGCATCTACAGCCAGATCCTCCAACACAGGCTCTTACAATAAAACCAAAGTAGCGTCGCATGCATTAAAGGGCATGGCTCCAGACACAGCTGACAAGCACAAAGGTGCTTTGAACAGGTAAATATCTGCAATAAAACCTAACTTCAGCAAACAAGTTCCAACCCTTGAGCACGATCCCGAGAGCAAAAGCATGAAAACACTTACACAGACAAGGGGATCTGCTGCTCCGATCCAACCACATCCACTAAGGTTGTGTTAAAGGCTGTCCAGAAGATAAAGAAGAACCCCCAAAAAGCCCGAAAAAGATTCCAAGTCTCTGGCATGGTGCCTCTCTGTGCCTGGAAAGACTTAGGGAAATTCAAGTGAAGCCGGTTGCAGCAGCAGTGGGTTTTGCTCACTGAAGCCTCTGCTCCCTCCCTTGCCCCCCTCCCCCCCACCAAAGCAACACTGGAAGAAATCACAGCTCCATCCTCATCCCTCCCAGGAATGACCCTCCCTGGGTAATGGGCAGAGAGGAGCAGAAGAGCCGCTCTAATGACTTGAAAACTATTGTGTCCTTGGTAACAGCGAAGCGTTTCCCAGCACCACTGCAGCCACTTGCACGTAGTTCTTTACAACTCCGCAGTCAGCAGAGTGCCCGAGTTACTTCGGTGACCTAGAGCTGCTCCAAAGTGCCGCCGGCAGCCAGAAATCAGACTATCGATCCCAGCGGGCAGGCCGTCCTCTCGCAGTGACTGCTCACTTGGCCAGCGGGAAGCAGCTGCCTTGCAGGGCCCGCTCGCTCGCCGGGCCCCCACCCCACATCGCGCCAGCCGGCACACTGGTCCAGCGGCGGGAGCAGCCTCCTTTTAACGGGCTGGCGCGGAGGGCGAGCGGGAGGCAGGCCCGGGAGGAGGCGGCCCGGAGGGAGGGCCACGCGCCTGCCCGGCGAGCGCAAAGGCCGCGGGAGCCGCGCGGAGCAGAGCGGGCAGCGGGCATGGAGGGAAAGCGCCGCAGCGCAACTTGAGCTCCTTGGGATGGAGCAGGAGGGCGGCTCCAGGTATTTGTGCTCCCGGCTGGATGCTTTTCCAGCCGCCCTCCCTCCGCGCGCCTCCCGCGGCCCCTGCGCTGCAGCCCGCGCTCCGAGCTCCCCGCGGGGCGGCGCGGAGCCCCGGGCTGAGTCATCCCGCGCGCGCCCACTCCCCAAAGCAACCGGGAGGTGCCAAGTCGCACGCAGGGAGCCGGGACGGGGGAGCGCGAGGGACGCGCACGGCTGAGCCCCGCGCAAGGGCGAGCGCCGAGCGGGGAGGCCGAAGCCGCCTTTGAACCGCGGCCGGGGCACCAGGTGCTCGGCTACCTCCAGGCACAAGCTGTAAGAACGCACATGGCTGACAAACCGGATCTAATGAATTATGCAGATCTTTGAGCACTTCTTTTATATATATATATATATATATATATATATATTAAATGTAACTTTTCAGAGATAGCAAGGCAAGAGGAGGGCAGGCTGGTGCTCTGCTTCTCCCACTCAGGTTTAGCACAATTCCTACGCTAGCTCTTAGGCAGGATGGGTGTAGGGCAAACTTGGTCTTTGCATGAAGAGATCTTGGCCCAGTTTAAGGCACAGTTCAGTGATGACAGCATATATATATATATATATATATTAAATGTAACTTTTCAGAGATAGCAAGGCAAGAGGAGGGCAGGCTGGTGCTCTGCTTCTCCCACTCAGGTTTAGCACAATTCCTACGCTAGCTCTTAGGCAGGATGGGTGTAGGGCAAACTTGGTCTTTGCATGAAGAGATCTTGGCCCAGTTTAAGGCACAGTTCAGTGATGACAGCCAGCAGCTCGCCTGCTTCCTTCAAAAAAAAAAAAAAAATACTGGGAACCCTAGACACTTTGTGAAAGCTCACAGAGTACAGATGGGTGTTCTGCAGTCTGGGAAATTTAGTATGCATTAAAACCATCACTAATTATTGGGAAAAGAAAAAAAAATAAAGCCACTCATCACACCTTGACTATATTCCACCTCTAATACCAATCTGGTTCAGTTACATGCGCTAGGTATACAAGCTAACCTGTACACTTCGTAAAGAAACTATTTCTGCTGCTACCCATTTCAGCAAATGTTGAACTTGAAAAATAACTTATGCCGGGCAGTGCAAGAGCAGCCACCTCCTTTTGTGCCACCAGATATTTATATTCCTTTTCACAGGGCGAAGTGCTCTCAGCATCTCCCACTAACACACATGAGTACCCTCATGCAGTTATTGGGCTCCTTTTGGTCATTCAGTGAGTGGGAAGCAGACCTGCACCACAACAGCGCTTCAGACACGCGTGTGTGTGCAAACCCTCGGCAGCAGGGAGCTAACAGCCTCCTGGCCTGAGCACTGCTGCCAGCACCTGCTGTGCAGATCACTGCAGTCAAGACCCAAGGTTCAAAATTGCCATGTTACCATTTTCAGTATCTCCTCATGCTGACAGGGTGGGGAGCACAGGAAACGGTCCCCAGGGCAGCCTTGCATGGGCAGTGAAAACAGAGTTCTGTTCTCAGGTAAGATCTGCTGAGAGGTTCCAGTCCTTTAGACTGCAAAGACAGCAGTAGCCTTCACAGTTCAGCACTCTCTGTGATACCCTAGAGCAACTCAAAAAACTTCCGTGTTTCAGAGATTCATAATAATGAAAGTTGGTATTTTAGAAATAACGCTGCATTGCTATCATATACTTATACTTTGGTAGATAACTGTTGAATTTGGAAGAACCTGCTATAAAAACCAATGTGCAAAAAAACAAGCAAAAATGAAGATGCCTCCCTGCCCAGAAGCTTTACTTGCCAGTAGATGCAGGTAAGTTACAACATGCCAGGGGTCTCAGAAGCAGAGCTCCCCATACTAAGTTACTGAACTGAGTTCTTCTTTCTCCCTGCCATTTTCAAGGGGACAAGTATATGTATGGCCTGTTCTGTCTTTGATGGTCAACTGTAAGGGTACATTTTAGTATATTACAGAAAACGAAAGAAGCTACTTCCCCCATGAAATTTAAAATGAAATTGGACACATGTGAATCACTAAATGTTTAACAAAGTCATAGCCATGCTCAGAGAAACCTGGTGAATGCACAGAGGTTTTTCCAGTTGGCCACCTTGAGGAAAAATAACTGAGGGACTGAAGAAAGGAAAGAGAGATCAACTGCGTTGAGCAGCATGAGATCTGGCACAAAGGCCCAAGTAGCCTGCACAGACTGAGGACAAGTCCTGTAAACAAATACCTAAGGTGGCTTCACCTGACAAACCAATGCATTGGTCTTTCCTCTTCCTACCCTCAAACATATTTGCACTTATAATAAAGACAAAGAATAAGGTCAAAATTGCCTTGCCAGAGTCTACTTTTGAGATCTCATGATGAGACACTTATCAAGTCCTAATAAAAATCAATTGAGAGGCAGAGAGAGAACATATGGTGCAGGGGAGAAGAGTAGGAGGAAGTGATATAATTAACACAAATGTTTATTGTATTTCTTTTTTCAGATGCTTCCTATCTACAATGAGCTCTACCCAAAGAGGAAAATAAATGGATAACTAAAGTGCTAAAAGGCAGGCTGAAAGATGCAAGCTACCTCTAGTGAAATTAGTTCAAAAATAAGCACATCAGTTTCTCTACGTTATACATGTATTAGAAGACTCACATAGTGCAAAAATGGATGAACTCAAATATACTGCATGCTGTGTTAACACTCGCTTTGTAGTATTTCTCAGTAGCACTAAACACTTAAGATACTCAAATATGATCTCCACAGTGGTTTTGCTTTTGAAATAAGATAAAATTCCTTCTTCTGAAAGATTTTCCAAAAGATCCTAAGTGACCTGTGAAACAAGGCGGGAGGAGGTGGGAGAGAGAGAGGAACAGGTTGGTACCTCATGGAGTAACTGTAATTTAAAATGATATCCTATACTGAAAAATCCTCCTAGCCCTTCAAGCTTTTCACAATTTTTTCCTTCTTTTTCCTTTCCTCCCCTACCCTGTTCTGCTTTTATGTATTTTTACACATGTAAAATGGAAACAGGACAAGCAGAGCAATATAACAAAAGTCATAGTTCCATAAAGCACTTGGAGATTGTCAGGTAAAAGGCAAAACCTGAACACTCAGGATTTATTGTTTGGAAACAACCCAATGGTGGAAGAATTCATGAAACTGTGTTGTCATGCTGTGAGAACACAGGTTTACTTGTTCCAAGTGAGCTGCACATCTGAGAAAGAGACCAAGAGGCTACATATTAGACCTAGTCTGCAGAGACTTAACCTATACACATGTATCCTTGGAATTTTATGAAGGTCCCATGTGTACAAATTGAAGCATTTTATTGGTATAGGGATACCTAATTATTGGCTGATTCCATCCTGCTTAGAACCAAGATTGAGGTCAAGTAACATTAATCACTGGATAAATTAACACAGCTCCACATAACACGCATGAGCGAGTGACTTGGGAAAATAAGGTAGTGCAAAAATAGTGAAACACATCAGTACTTTGCATGCGAGTTTTCACTACTACAAGTCAATCTAAAAAAAAAAAAAAAATACATAACCAAGATCCAACACTGGTATTTCATTTCATGAGAATATTAAGGCTACGTTTACAAGCTATGTTTACAGATTTTCAAAAATCAGCTATATGAGAATGCAATCTCAATAAAAGATCTAAACCTAAAGTACACACATGCACAATTAATACACTTTGCAAGCACAGTTTTCTGGGTTACTGTCATGTTATCTTTAGTGCAGTTCAACACCAAATAAACCTCACAGTTTGCCATAACCCCCCAAGGAATTCATGGTTAATTTAGCTTTTACAAAGCCTATATTCAGCTGGCTTTAGCATCTCCACAAGGAGTTAAAATGTGAAAGAGGAGAGCATTATTGCATCCCAGCCTATGAGCGCTCACACTGCCTGGTAAGCTAGAATGCTTTAAGCTAATGATGTTTATAGCTAACCAAATCCAATTTCAGCAGTCCACTGTAGCTATAGTCTGTTAGTGCCATTTTACATAAGCTTCATTTATTTTGAATTTTCAACTATTAAGACAAAGCCTGCATTTGGCTTCTTTTGAGTGTCAGGCTAGGAAATGAACTCTTCTGTAAGCAAATAAATTACCTTTTTACTCCCAAGGCTATTGCTAGGTTGTAAGTGTTAACATTTTCAATGCATTCAAAAATATTTGAAAACTGAACATAGGATCTAAAACGAGAACCTAGAATTGAGGGATGCAACATAATGGCCAGAAAACAATGAAAACAAACAATATTGTTTCTCCAATGTTACATTAAAGGTGACAAGATATTGAAGTGTTAGTCTGTTCCTGTCTACACACTGGTAGGAACCCACTAGCCACAGTTTAATGACCTCCAAATGTTCATTTAAATCTTGCAAATTCCTCTGATTAGGGTCCCTTAGATTGGCTGCGAGTCCAAAGTATGGACTTCAAAGGTTGTTTAAAGCATTGCATTTCCTTCTCATCTTGGCAGTGTTACTGACACATAGACAGTGGGTACCAAAAATTATGTCAGGAAGATCACGGCTGGCTAAAAACCTGATTATAACCAGGGAAAATAGGTACTGAGCAGAGTCTTTCAGGGAGAACTCCTTTCACATCAATAGCCAAAACGTCCCTTATTGACCCATCATCTTCCCCGAGGGAAAGATTTCGACCTCTCAGCTGAACGCAGCCTGCAAACTTCAGAACAACACATTTAGCTGTTTTGAAAATGCTGCCCTTGTGATGAAGGTACAAAACATAACATGGCATTTGATCAAAGAAACAGTTCTATGACCAATAATTATGTAAAGCTATAGCTACTTTAGAGATCTGTAATTCTGTCATCCTCCAATTAATTCTAGCAACGCAAGTATGAAATTCAAGGAGAAAGTATGACTTATCTGAAGCTTTGATTATCACATCAAGAAACTAGTATTCTGATCAATGTGAAAAATCAGCATACAATATTTGGTATAATTCTATGGCAGTTGCTACTTGGTAATCTATTTTTGCTCTATCATTTTGGTGGTGGACCTTGTTTATTTTTATGAACATTAACCAGCCTAGAAAAAAATCAAATTGAGGTGAACTCCTCAATTCTAGAGACAGAAAAATGTGAATTCCACCAACTTGTTATAAAATGCAAAGGAAAATAATAATTCTGAATAGCCAGCCAGTATATCAGTTTGCCTTAAATTTCTGACTACAGCTACAGAGAAAGACTCCCAATGACTACAAAGAGGCAGACTTAAGTAATAGTACGAAGCACCAAGTACATTTTCTAAATTTCTCTGCAGAAATTATTATCTGACCACGCACTGCAGCAGGTAGACAATTCATTAGTGTCTTTAAGATTTGCTGCCTAATGCAAATGATCAAGTTTCTCTTCTTCAGCAATTACTGTTACTTTGGACCAAAATAATGTCAGTGAAAACATTTGGCAGTCTAACCTGAAAGCTTGTTCAGGCAAACATTGGTTGAAACCTTGTTGTCCCTAAGCAAGGGAGAGATCTGATTTAGGATATTAGAGGAAGAATGTCCTAAATGTGGTGGAAGTGGGGGGGCCTTGGGTATGAGCAGACAACCCCAGCATCACATGGATTAAAATTGTATTGCAGCAAGCCAAAAGACAGCCTTACTTCAGGATTTCAAGTTCTGACTTCCTTACAGCAGTCCGATTCTATTTCTATCTTACTATTCCAGCTTGACAGCTTGCACATTATGGAAGACTCAGGCTTCCCTTGCTGAAGAATAGCTTTTTTATTATTTTTCCAAATACCATAAAGTAGGTTTATGTTTAAGAGATGCAAAATAAAAGCAAAGTTAATACCCATAAATAGCATTAAGTAAATTATTTGCCAAAGCATGCTTTTTTTTTTTTAAGCAACCTGCTAACTCATCAGTTTCACTGACACTGCAAAAAAAATAGACTACTACTATACTTTTAAAAGTATTACTACATTTTAAGTTGTAAAGCTAGTCACCTTCAATTAATTGTAGTCACAAATGTCGCTTTACACAGGTCTACCTTTAAGCAGCCAATATTAAGTAGGCCCTTGGGAAGAAGGAGGAGAAAAAAAAAAAAAAGGCAGCAGCAACATGGAGCCAAGCCTGCCCAATTCCTGCCCAATTATTATGTTTACAAAAGATTACCTACCACCATTTCACTTAATCTTTCCTTTCTATTAAAATAAAATGTTTATCTAATAAGAGGGGCTACCTGTCCTGCAAGACTTGTCTTGCTTACATCCACAGGATATCGAGGCCATCAAACCATCTCTATTCTACAGCCAAAGCCAGGTCTGCCAAACTTTACTGATTACACACATCCTACACACCTATAAATAAATATTTAACTAATAGGATATTGCTTTTTTCTATGTCATTATGGGATTTTATTCCCTAAATCTCATATGTACCTTCAGTTCTCAACCCTCTCCAACTTTGACCCCGCTCCTCCACGACCTGCAAACTCCCTGTGGAATCTATCCCACAGGAATCTTCACCCCATGTGTTAACCTAGTTCCATCACTTAAAATTCTCCTCTCCCACAACTCTTGCAGGAAACTCCCTACTTTCCCATCTAACCGTCAACACTCAGTATCACTTTCCTTTGTCTTTTTAAAAAAAATAATGTCATGAAAAAAGAGATTAAAATAACAATAATCACTGTAAGACTTCAACAGCACTTATTGCAATCAAGTCCATAGCAGTAACCAGCAGACACGCTTCTCAAAGACAGTCCCCAGCTGCAAATCTTCATCACACATTATCCACATGTATCAAGCGCATTTCTATTTCAAATACTTTGATAAACTGATATTCATGGTCTGTACAAGCTAATGTAACACCTGAACAAAGCACAGTCCTCACCAGGGTTTGAGTGGGATGCTGCAGCAGGCCCTAGGAAGTTGGTGCCATCCCATCATTACCAGGTAACTCCAACTCCCCCATGGCTCCGGCCAACAGTGCCCTGCGCAGACACTAGCAAGCATGACCCACTCGTCCAGGTAACTCCAACTCCCCCATGGCTCTGGCCAACAGTGCCCTGCGCTAGCAAGCATGACCCACTCGTGGGCCTTACTCTGCCCAAAGATCATCTCCAAAAAAGAGTTTTAGGAAAAGGACAGGAATAGACAACATAGTCCTGAGTGCAAGAGGTGGGGACGAAAGAACTTAGGAGCAGCTGCTTATTCTAGAGCCCTGCTTTAGTCCAACCTATTTACATCAGTCAGGCTATAACTGGAAACCTTGTGGTATTGCTTGCTTTAGAGAGCTAGTGGATCCGCACTACCCTCCATTGTCAACCAAAATAATTCACCCTAGGCAATGAAAGGTGGCCATAACATATCACAGAAAAGGAAGAGCTAAGTTCTTCAAAATCATGGCAAACAAAGCTACTACCAACAGTTTACTCCAAGATAACATTTAAAGTTATTCTGGCTATAGTTAGTAATGTCCAGGTTTAAACCGCTGATGGAGAGTCAATACAGTCTTTTTGAAAATCTGCACATCTCTTTCCTGCTGCCCAAGTAACATCTGGCAGCACAGCTCGGCCGCTGGGGAATAGCAGCTCTCCACGGCAGCAGGCACTTCAAGCAGCAATTCTTAGAGCAGCACTTAACTGCTTCAAGAAATATGTAAGACCAGGGAGCTGCAGTAGTTGGAAGACAACATATGTCATCTTTCTGGGCATCTTGCCTCAACCATATTATCAAGAGAACTGGTGTTTTACATTTTTGAAAACCGTAGAAGGAATAGCCAGAGATTTATTTAGAAGAAGCTAGTGTCCTAATTGACCTTATTTACCACAAGCGGAGCATATGCACCACCCAGCACCCACTCCAAGACAGGGACAGGAGGGAACTGGCTCCTCAGGAATACAAATTGCCCATAGGGAAAAAGTAATAATTGCCAGGCTTGTGCCTTTTCACAGCCGAGTTGCTTGAAGACAGGCTAGCCATTGCATAAAGCAGCTGTGCTATTTCACTTTTCCTTTCATTCATTGAGCTTGAGCTGTTTTTCTAAGTTGGCTTACACTATTTTTCCTATCATAGCTTTTCTCATTCAATACGCAAGGAACTTGGTTTTAGCAGAAAACACACAAAGGCTTCCTTTCTGTATATGCCCCTGTATTAGAAATATCCTTAAAAAGGAAACCGAGGGTTCTGCAGATGTAGTACAGTATTGACTGCAATTCATCATGACAACAGAGAACTCTGACTTTGCAAACCTGCATAACCTTCCTTCCCACTGAGCCACCTAATGTGACTTAAGCATTTTTAGGGCAGCTCTGCACTGCCAGACAAGATATGGAACGGAGGCACTTGGCCTCTTTTGTCTTGTATGTAGAGGACACAGTAACAAAACAGTAACTTTCACCCATTCAGGTTTTAGTGCCTGGACACAAGGACCACGCTATGTTGTTATCCAAGCAGAGGAGCTCCATGAAAGTGCTGCAGCCCAAGGTAAGAGCACAGCCAGGTGTCTTGCCATTCGGCTGAGGGAATGCCAGGAAGCAAGACCCATCCAGCTACATATGAAAAGATGAGGGTTAAAAAATATATCTTCAGATCAGAAGGGGGTGGGGGACAAAAAAAACAAACAAACAAAAAAATCCACCACCTCATATACCCTCAAGTTAACAGTGATAGTCTTTTAGTTATTTAGAATTAGCATTTCATTCTCAATGAATCCACAGAATATCCACTCATATTTCCAAACTGAGATATACTACTTCTGTTCTCTTGATTTATTATATCCAGATCAGTACTAGCATACATACATACAGATAAAATGGAAAAATATTTGGAATAAACCACCCGACTTTAGGAGGCAGCTGGAAGTTTGGTATGTTTTAGGCATCTCCTGGTCTCCCAGAGAGAGTTGCCCCGTAGGACCCTAA